AAAATTTAATGATATATTTACATTGAATAGCATTTAGTATTGCAAGTTTTGCTTGAAATTTTTTTGATTCAGAGGTATCATCATCATCCTTTGGATAATTTAAAATAGTTTTACATGCCACCTCAACTGTTTTTCTAAGCATTTTTTTAGCAACCCTCTTATTTGCACCTCTTACATCTGTATCCTTTCTGTAACTTAATTCTACATCATATATCCTTGGGATCAATTTTTGCCAATTTTATTATAGGATTAAGTTCCAAATTGTCAGATAACACACATTGATTTAATTTTTTTATTAAAACTGATCCATTATTCTGCATTGTTGTTTCCAAATTCTAAACAGAATATTTAGATATATATATATAAATATTTTTCAATGCATTTATAAAAAAATAAAAACAATTGATATCATTTACTTTATACCTCAAATTTTTCATATATTTTAGCAAAATATTTCTCCATGTTATTGCCTTGTTGTTTCATTGTATGATAACTGGAAAGAATCACATTGAATTGTAAATCTGCACATGCTCCTTCTAAATGTTTAACATGATCATCATAGCACTTTTTAATGTGGTCAGCATTAAAAAATTTTTTAAATCCTCCATAACTTGAAATATGTTTAATAAAATGTTTAATATTTTTCAAAACAGCTTCAAGCCTATTAAATGCTTTAAAATAACTTTCTTTACGGAAATTTTCTTCATTTGCTTCTTTTTCTCTTTCCATTTGTTTAATGGCTACATGTGCCAATTCAACTCTATGAATTAATGCTATAGAAATTGTCTTATTTTCTTTAATAGTATCATAAAGCCTAATAATTGTTTCACATAAATCACATATTGTTTTAAGTATTGGTACATAATTTGTAAAGGCATCTCCTGTGGACAGTACAAGCAAGGAAACATTTTTTATTGTGTCCATTGTTGTAATATTATCATCTTTATCATCAATACATCTTTTTTTCGGCTTTCCATCATTTATATTAGGTGAAATATTATCTTTATAATCAATATGTCTTTTTCTATTATTTGGCATTTTGAGAACTAAATTTTTATTCATTGTGTTCTAAAAAAAAGTTTTTTAAGAATAGTAATTGTAAGAAAAAATTTTTTTTTAAGAGCTGCTATATTTAAAGAAATCTAGAATGGCCATGTAATATCATCATAGCAAATAATGACAAGTCTTGCGGAGAAAAACTCCTTAAAGAACATCAAAAAAAAATAAAAATAGCATCCTGATTAGAAAAATTAATTTACCAATTTTATTTAATTTATTTTATTGTTAAAAAATTTTATATTAACGAATATTCGATATGAATATTCGGTTACACGTATTAAATATTAATATGAATATTCGAACATTCGAATATTCAATGATAGTAATATATAGTAATGCTCTGCGCAACATAGCAGAAGTATATATGTATATAAACAGGAACAGGTGGGACCGTTCTGGGAACACAAAAATTAACAGGAGGGAACACAAAATTTTAACCCATGCTATTTGTTGATT